GTGCTAAAAGTGAAACACCAACCCACCGCCACCTAGTAAAATACTCCCTGCACACAGTTAACTCTTTGATTGCCCTTCATGTTAACTCCTTCCTGCCCAGTGCCGTTAGTACAGTGTCCGTGCTTTTTATTAGCACTGATAACTGTATTGGTGTCACTGGGGATGTCAGTGACACCAAGTCAGTTCCCCCCAATGTCAGAATGTCCGCTGCAGTCCCACTATAAGTCGCTGATTGCCGCCATTACTTGTAAAAATGAAAAAAAAAAAAACATCCCCAGTATATATACCTCCATTTGTAAACGCTATAACGTTTACGTAAACCAATTAATTTACACATATTGGATTTTTTTTTAGCAAAGACATGTTGCAGAATACATTTTGGTGTAAATTTATGACGAAATTTGATTTTGAAATTTTTTTACTGAACATGTTTAATAGCAAAAAGTACAAAATTTAGTTTTTTCCTCAAAATTGTCGGCCTTTTTTTTTTATAGCGCCAAAAATAAAAACCGCACAGGTGATCAAATATTACCAAAAGAAAGCTCAATTTGTGGGAAAAAAAGGACGTAACTCAAAGAATGGCCTGGTCAGGAAGGGGGGTAAATCCTTTTGCGGGCAAGTGGATATACTGGAATTTTTATTTATTTATTTTTTAATACTAGGTGATCAGCGACTTAAAGTGGGACTGTGATAGTGTGGCAGGCAGTCTGACACTGGGTGGGAACTCACTTACATACGCTGACATCACCAGTGACACAAATGCAGTGATCAGCGATAATACTATACACTGTTACTATACCAATGACACTGGCTGGGATGGGGTTAACATCTTGGGATAAACAAGGGGTTAAGTGTGTGCCTAACAAGTGTTAATGTGTGTATTATGTTCTGCTTTATACTAAAAATGTATCTGTTCCTTCTCCCTGCTTTGCAGGGAGAAGAAACAAAGAGATTGTTCCCTCTGTGCCCTGTGTGGATTGTCAACACAGGGCTCTAGGCTGTGACTGGACACAGCCACTCAGCAGGTCCTAGCCATAAATTATTGGCTGGGACCTAATGACAAAATCCCACTGTGTACAATAACAGGAGTCAGTGGACGGGGGCATGCACATGCCCTGTACCCAGAAGAGGCCACTGATGTACAGGTACTTTGCTGTGCCTGTACAGACCACCTGTCCACAGTGCATTGGAGCCGAGCAGTCCTGAAGTGGTTAAAGCCTTCTGTGCCATCAACAAAAGCCATTTTTTACTATGTCACTGTTTGCATAGTGATCACATGGCTTTGTTGATAAACAGATTCGTTTGATTGTCACAACAACACTGACATGGTGACCACATGACTTTGGGTATAAGCACATGTTAGGGTTTTGGTTATCAAGTTAGGATTAGCAGAGGGAGAACACTAAAATGAAGGATACCATTAGGGCTAATTAGGGGTTAGGGTTAGTGCTTTTTGCACCAGGTCCAAGTTGATTGAAAGGATCTTTTCTATTATCGGAAGCAGTTTTAAACCTATTTACTTTAATATCCACCAAAACATGTGAATTAAACTTCCCCAGACTATTTTACCTAGTCGTAAAATTTTCAATAAAACAGTCTGGATTGTTGCAGAATTTAAAGTTTAAAAACTCCCCTTTTTGCTAATCCATAGGGATTAGTAGCCACACATTTTTCCCATCACTAGCAGAAATACAGTTATCTCATATAGGCTAGTTACATATTATCACAATATTCTAAGCTAGATGAGGAGCAGTCAAGCAAAAAAAAAAAAAAAGATATGTCTTAGGAGATGTCCTAGAGATGGTCCTAGAAGAGACTGAAGTAATGACTTCCAAACAGAACACTTACAATTAGAACACTTACAATTCCTGATTTCAAAGGTCAGCTGTCTTTTAGGACCTCTTTTTTTTACCCCAGTCAACTGGCTAGTCTTAGTATTGAATGAAGAAGACACCATAGTCAAACAAGGTATGCCATGTCTGAGGGAGGAGAGGACAAATGAGACAGTTTGTCAATTCTGCTTCAATACACTAGACTACTAAAAAAGAAGGCACATTATCAACCTACTCAACCGGCTAGCATTAAAGCTGTAGGTGTACAGATTTAGGGTTAATGACAACCAATGACACCGTTTTACTAACAGACAGCAACACGGGTGGTTGCCACCCCTAGAAACCCTGCTGCCTTAGCCTATGGCCTGTGGTAGCTAGGCAGGTATTTAGTCCAGGTTGTATGTCTCCAGTGCTGGAAAGCCAGCCATGCCCAGGGGCGGACTGACCATTTGGAAACTCGGGCACTGCCCGAGGGCTCGGGGTCAGTAGGGGGCCCCATGAGATGCCCATGGTACCTTTTTCATAGGCTTTTTTGAGTTTGGGCAAGGACACAGGGGCCCCATGATCCCCTATTGCCCGGGGGCCCCATGAGTTGTCAGTCCGCCCTTGGCCATGAATAAATTTAGTAGAAACAATCTCAAACTCCACTGCATCTTCCAGCAATTGACTTCTGCTCTCCATCCAATTGCAAGTTTCACTTCATAAATTTCATTTCGCAAGAGATACCACAAGGTCTACAGACATCATGCATACCTTCTTTGCCACTCTATCTTAAACTGTAAAATAAGAGTTTTGGCTATAGATACACTTATTTATTTTTTATTACATAGTTACATAGTTAGTCTGGCTGAAAAAAGACAAAAGTCCATCCAGTTCAACCATTAAAAAAAAAGTTATAATCCTATACCCACAGTTGATCCAGAAGAAGGCAAAAAAAATCCAGCAAAGCATGATCCAATTTGCTCCTGCAGGGAAAAAAATTCCTTCCTCATCCCCTGAGAGGCAATCAGATATTTCCCTGGATCAACTTTACCTATAAATGTTAGTATCCAGTTATATTCTGTGTATCCAAGAAACAATCCAGGCCTTTTTTAAAGCAATCTACTGAGCTGGCCAGAACCAACTCTTGAGGAAGTCTATTGCACATGTTCACAAGCTCTCACTGTGAAGAAACCTTTCCATGTTTGGAGAATAAATTTCTTTTCCTCCAGACAGGTACTTATATAGTGCCAAGCATTTACACAGAGCTTTTATATATATTGTACATTATAATCAGTCCCTGCCCTCAATGAGCTTACAGTCTATGGTCCCCATCTCACATTCATACATACTAGGGCTAATTTACATAGCAGCCAATTAACCTACCAGCATGCCTTTAAAGCAGGCATGTCCAAAGTCCGGCCCGCGGGCCATTTAAGGCCCGGGGGTCAGTTTAATACGGCCCTCCAACAGCCCTCCCTGCTCTGTGTAATGTGGCCCTCCCATGGCCCTCCCTTCTATGGCAGACAGTCTTCTGCTTGAGAGCAGAGGGCAGTGCGCATGCCTGACTGCGGCGCGTTCTCCCTGGTCTGTGTAAATGCGGCTGTCGCACGGCCCTCCCTTCTGTGGCAGACAGTCTTCTGCTTGAGAGTAGTGCGCATGCGTGACTGCGCCGCACTGGGAGCGACAGAGGGCGGTGACGTCAGGGCCGGGCTTCCAGCGTGAAGTGTGTTTCTCTTCCCCTCCCGGCTGCCGAACAAAGACTTCAGCTCCAGCTACCTTTTTCACCCTTCACATTAGTGCAGGTAAGTTTTTTTAAAATTTATTTTCAATACATTGTGAAAACTCAGCTGTCAGTTGATCTTAATGTTATGAAATGAAAAGTATGTCGTTTGCAATTAACTTGGCATAAAATAATTTATTTGCATTTAATTGTAATGGTTCAAAGAATATTCGGAAAAAAATGTTCGGCCCTCCACCATGTTCACTTCATCCAATCTGGCCCTCTTTGAAAAAAGTTTGGACACCCCTGCTTTAAAGTGTGGGGGGAAACCAGAATATCCGGAGGAAACCCACGCAGGCACAGGGAGAACATGCAAACTCCAGGCAGGTAGTGCCATGGTTTTAGACTCAAACCAACAACCCTAGTGCTGGCAGGCGGAAGTGCTAATCACTGTGCTGCCCACTTTAACATCTTCTTACCAGGGAGTATGTATATTTATGGCAGCACTGAAGTGGGCCTTATTCTCTGCTGCCATATATATATATATATATATATTTTTTTTTTAAGTATATTGAATAAGTCCAAAATTGTAGTATTTCAAATATATGTCAATACATTTTTAAATATATTTAAAATATATTTTTCTTCCATGTGGGTTGTAATCCATGTGTAATTTAAAAAATGCTCAGAAAGCGTGGCAAAATGTTTGCCGTGTTTTTGCACTGTTTTTGCGGAGGATCGGTGTGAAAGTAACCTAAATGTTATGGGAGTTGTGGGCTACAGACACAGAGAGGCAGGTCAAGCACTGTAATTGAGATCCTATTGAGCTGTTAATTACAGGCTTTTTTAGAGGTTGGTATTTGTGGAGAGCAGGGACCCATCAGAGGATCCTCTGGTCCTCGGGTTGGTCAATCCAAGCCTGTACATATGCCAGGTGCCACTGAAGATGACATTGCGGGGTTGATTTACTAAAATCTGGTGCAACTTTACATAGAAACCAATCAGCTGCCAGGTTCTATTGTCAAAGTGTAACTGAACAAGGTGAGCTTAGAAGCTGATTGGCTACCATGCACAGCTCCACCAGATTCTGAATGCTTCAGTGTTAGTAAATCTACCCCTGCTTGTCTGCCCTGGCAATTGTGTCTTTGGTTGCCTATTTCTGTTTCATCATCATCATTATTATTATTTCTGTCTTTTTCCTGTGTTAGTGACAACCACTGTTAATTTCCTATCCTGTTGTCACATGGTCAAGAAATGCGGTGAATTCTCTATGTATTGCGAATGTTGTCTAATTTGTTTTCTATGAAACTGGACATACGTCTTCTTATAATTCCATGCTACTTTTCTCAACAGATGTAAATGAAAATGTGAACAGATGTGAATGTGCGTACAAATGTGGAGTTGACAAAATAGTTTATATTTACCTGTACCCCTTTAATATTGAATACAACCTCTTTGCTGCAGCAATGATCTATATCATGTGGAAGAACGTTGGACGCCAGATTGATGAAAATGCTTCTTTCCACCATGGACTGGGGCCAGGTGTTCGTCAACACATTCCTCTTCTAGGCCTTTTTTCTGGTTTGGGTGTTCTCATTACAGGCATTGTAATGTTTATCTTGTATGAAGTGGGTAGAGAGAATCCTCAAAAAAACTGGTTATCGTTGACTGCTTTCTACTACTTTCACGTGATCAGCCTTTTTCTGATGTGCCTTGCCAATTTGGTGGGAATTGTCATTTTCAGGCTCGATAAGAGAAACATGGACAATCAGAAGAACCCAAGTCGAACATTAGATATGGCTCTACTCTTGCTGGCAACATTAGGCCAATATGGAATTTCTTACTATTCTATTATAGCCATGACATCCACAACTCCATTCATCCTCCTGTGTGGTTTAACCCTTACCTATTCTTTACTGATGATTATTCAACACTCTCTTCAAAATGCTTTTATAATAGAAGGCCTGCACCGTCTGCCTCCTGCCAACTTACTTAATACTCATCAGGGAACAAGTCACTCCAGGCCTGTGGAACAACATGATTCTATAAGACGTAGAAGTACGCCAGAGAAAGAAAGTAGGTTGTCCCTAACAAGCCCTCCAGAAAATGCGAGAATGTCTAGAAGAGAAACCCTGTCTCAGCACATTAAGAGCCATCTGAAGAAAAGAAAAACAATGAAGGACGTTTACTTGTTTCTCTTCCTCTGTAACCTTATTGTAAGTAATTCATTCCTTTGTATCCTAGTCATAAACAGGCTCATTTTGATAAGTAGTATATATAATATTTGAAAATATTCCTTCTGAAACCACAGAAGCTGATTTAAGGAATAGAGAATTTCCACTTTGCAAACTGAATGTTCACATAGCTTGGTGCCTAAGGTGAAGAGGCGATCCAATCATGTGCAATATAATGATCCCGTGTTCTTGCATAACCAGGTTTGCATGAACTAAGTGAACATTTTCTACTCCTTTAGGAAAGGTCATATTTATACTTTCTGCATTTCCAGCTCAAATGTCTTTTAATGCCACCCTCAAGTTTCCTAAAAAAGCAAGGTTCCCAGCAGCCTGAGTGGATAGACAGAGCTAAGAGTAGGGGCGGATTGACCATAGTCTTTTAGCGACTCTGGCAGTGCCCGAGGGCTCGGGGTCAGTAGGGGGCCCCATGAGATGATCCTGATACCTTTCATAGGCTTTTTTGGGTGTGGTTTAAGTGTGGGCAAGGACACAGGGACCCCATGATTTCCTATTGCCCGGGGGCCCCATGAGTTGTCAGTCCGCCCCTGGCTAAGAGTATGTGATTAGGGAGATATAATTGTGCTATACAGAACTATATTGTGATATATACAGTGCTATACACAGTACTGTATTGTGCTATGTTACTTTAACCCCTTGCCTACTGGGCACTTATACCCCCTTCCTGCCCAGGCCAATTTTCAGCTTTCAGCATTGTCGCACTTTGAATGACAACTGCGCGGTCATGGAACACTGTACCCATATGAAATTGTTATAATTTTTTTCACACAAATAGAGCTTTCTTTTGGTGGTATTTACTTGCCACTGGGTGTTTTATGTTTTGCGCTATAAACTAAAAAAGAGCAAAAAAATTAAAAAAAAAGTTTCCTTTGTTTCTATTATACAATTTTTCAAACAGGTAATTTTTCTCCATCACTGATGTGCGTTGCTGAGGCTGCACTGATAGGCAGCACTGATGGGCACTGATAGGCAGCACTGATGGGCACTGATGTGGTGGCACAGATAGGCAGCACTGATGGACACTGAAAGGTGGCACTGATGGTGCTGCACTGATGGGCGGCACTGCTGGGCACTGATGAGTGGCACTTCAGGGCACAGGTAGGTGGCAATGATGGGCACAGGTGGGTGGCACTGCAGGGCACAGGTGGGTGGCACTGCAGGGCACAGGTTGGTGGCACTGATGGGCACAGTTGGGTGGCACTGCTGGGCACAGGTGGGTGGCACTGATTATCAGGGCATTGATCAGCAGTGCCCTGATGATCAGTGCTGATCCCTTCGCTGACAATTGCCGGTTCTCGGCAGTACTTTCCTCACGCTATGACAGCGTGAGGAAAGTGCAGCCGATAACCAGCAATGTATTTACCTGGTGATCTGCTGTGATTGGCAATTCACTGTATCACATGATCAGCTGTGTCCATAGGACACAGCGATCACTTGTGGTGCTGGGTGCGTGCCACTGGGGGCACGCAGGGGGGCGTGTTCTGGAATGATGTCCATGGATGTCGTCCCAGGATTACACAACTGCTCTGTAGCAGTCCTTTGGCTATACCGGTTAACCGGAACCGGTTAAATTGTAGCATTAATGGATACATATTACTGTTTAATCTCCTGTGTTTACAGTGCATAGAACCAACAGTCCTTTTTAGAACTACCTTTTTGTGTGTGTCAGCAACTTCACCTTGCAGGTTTTTTTTTGTGTTTATGTTATTTCCCCTTTTTTATATTTCTTATTTTTTGAATCTGGTAGTTTTTTATTAAACAGCTTTTCATTTATCAACAAAAAATTATACAGAAACACATTTCTGCATTATGAGTAGAAACATTACGGAGATATCTAAAGGGAAAAAAAAAAAGAAAATACAGTATACCAATAAAGCATACTTGCTTGAGATCATGCTATAACAGATGTAAGAGACCTTAAGTTATAATTATTAACTCACAGCGATTATTATTCCAAAAAGTGTCTAAAAGTCACATCAAAGATTTACACAGTGCATTTCAGTTAGACTGAGAGACAGTCAACTTCACAAACCATTGGCCGAGCAATCACCTAACTTCCTGTATTTGTATTTCTTATTTTTTATATTTTTCTGTAAGAGAGTACCAGGAACCTAGAGAGAGGGCACTTCATGCAGGGAGCAGCAACCAGCTATGATGTTCCTGCAGCTGCCAAGTCAATAGAGGGTGGGGGCAGTGCAGGGACAAGGTCATCTAGAACCCTGGGTGAAGATGTCCAATGCCCCCCCCCCCCCCAAAATGTATGAGCATTATGTGTCAGCAAAAATCCCCCCCCCCCCCCAAAAAAAAGTAGTGGAGCATTAATGTTTACACTTATCCCCTAAGCCCCCATTGCTGGTACCATGTGACCTTCTGTGACAAATCACAGCAGGTCACATGACAGTTGTATACAATGGATGGCTTCATTCATGCCATCCATTGTATACTAGTGTCTAGCTGTGAATGGTCACAGCGATCACATGCACATGTCATGTGATTAGCTGTGGCCAAATCATAGCTAAGCACAAAAAACAAAAAAAATCCTGAATGAATGGATGTCATTCAGGTAAATGCTTGCTTATAGCAAAGTAATTCTTTGCTATAAGCAAATTGTGTAAAAAAAAAAAAAATACTGATCACTTCCCCAAAGTAGTACAATGTTACTATGGTAACATTGTACTACTTTGGTCATAGTGAAATATGACAAAAAATTTTTTAAAAAATATATTTTTTTTCATACTGTCACCAGTCAGTGTCCCTGATCACCGCCATGCCAGTTATATGATGACGCTGTACTGCACTGGTGACAGTATGTAAAAAAAAAATAGTGAAAATAATTTTTTTAATTTTTTCATTTTCCGAAAAATTATGACAAAAAAAATACAACTTCAAAAATCTCACCATGCCTCTTATGAAGTACGTCGGACTGTCTACTTTGCAAAAAGGGGTCATTTGGGGGATATCTGTACTGTTCTGACATTCTTGGACCTCAAGAAATTAGCTTGGCTGTCCGTACATCAGGATTGATCAATATTCATATATCCCAGTTTGTGAATTCTATAACTTTCCTACAAACTAAAAAATACATCCTAATTTGGGTTATTTTCACCAAAGACATGTAGCAGAATACATCTCGGCCTAAATTTATGAAGAACAATTATTTATTTACAAACTTTTATAACAGAAACAAAAAAAACGTGTTTTTTTTTTCAAAATTTTCGGTCTTTTTTTGTTAATTTAGCAAAAAATAAAAACCCCAGCGGTGATTAAATACCACCAAAAGAAAGCCCTAGTTGTGTGAAGAAAATGATAAAATTTTAGTTTGGGTACAATGTTGTATGACTGCGCAATTGTCATTCAAAGTGTGACAGCGCTGAAACCTGAAAAATGGCCTGGGAGGGAAGGGGGTAAAAGTGCCCTGAATTGAAATGGTTAATTGCTATCTGTGCCTTCCTGTCCCAGTGTCCCCTCATTTCTTTTACAGGTGTCACAGGGACAAGAAGTGAGGGAAAATATCCCCACTAACTATATATGACTTTTTACAGCAGTTATTGCCTATTGAGGTATTTATTGACATATTTGTCCTATTTCCACAGTTCTGGATTATGCCAGCCTTTGGAGCTCGGATCAGGTTTGATACAGGACTGGAGGTGAATTTTTATGGATTTTCTATGTGGGCCATAATAACCAATATTTGCCTTCCTTTTGGAATTTTTTACCGGATGCATGCAGCTGCCAGTCTACTGGAACTATATAGCATGGCCTAGAAGGTCTACAATATTTCCTGCTGTCTGGAACACAAGACTTTTCTGTACAGCAATTCGAATGGCTAATGTGTCAAAAGACCTTGGAGTTTCAAAGGAGAACCTATTCAGATGAAAAAGACTTGTGAAAAATATGGACCTTGTTTGAAGTTTTTTAGAGCCACTGGTTGAGTTGTCACGGATCTATAGCAAGTTGTCCTCTTTTAGCAAATACTTTGAACACATTTTTCCACCAAACAGTAGTCTTGTTATCTGGCAGGTCTTTTTGGTGCTGTCTTTTATTGGGATTGGTCTAAAGCAGAGGAATGTTTTAAAGTGCTATACTCTACAAATCATGTTTTGCCTAGCTTCTCTGTTTTGAACTCCTAACCATTGCAAAGGTATTTAGAACAGTCCCACTGAATTGAGACATTTTTTGGAATGTATTAATAGGATCAATGAGTGATAACTATTTAGATTTCTGATATTTTTCTATAAAACATATTAGAATGTTAGCTTTAACATCAATTTTGCTTCTTAGAATTTTTAGTGCATAGTGGATTTTTTGCGGGAAAATCTTAAAACAACTTTTTACTGATATATTGATATGTAATCAAAACTTTTTTTTTTAGATTGAGAACTACTAGGGGTGACTATATTGTGCATGTACTACTTCACCCATTGTAAAGTATATCTGGAAGCCAAGGAAAATATGGAATTCTTCAGGTGCCAGGTGTCACCCACCACACATGTTCAATTGCTTGGTAACACAAATTGCTAATCAGCCAATCACATGGCAGCAACTCAATGCATTTAGGCATCTAGATGTGGTGAAGATGACTTTCAAGTTTGAAGTTCAAACCAAGCATCAGAATGGGGAAGAAAAGGGGATTTAAGTGACTTTGAACATGGCATGGTATTTGGTGCCAGACGGGCTGGTCTGAGTATTTCAAAAACTGCTGATCTACTGGGATTTTCACACAGAACCATTTCTAGGGTTTACAGAGAATGCTCCGAAAAAGAGAAAATATCCAATGAGCAGCAGTTTTTGTGGATGAAAATGCCCTGTTGATGTCAGAGGTCAGAAGAGAATGGGAAGACTGGTTCAGCTGCGACATTCAGATGGTAAGGTCAGAAGTTGGTGAAAGCATGGATCCATCCTGCCTTCTATCAACGGTTCAGGCAGGTTGTAGTGGTGTAATGGTTTGGGGGATATGTTCTTAGCACTAGCAAGGTGTACCTAATAAAGTGGCTTGTGAGTGCATAACATACAAATCCAAATACTTTCATAAAGCACCTGATTATATTTTCACATAATGTTCATTAACCTCTTGCCGTCCGCCTGCTGTTTATAAACGGCAGGGCGGTGGCACTCCAGGGGCGGGTTGCCGTTCCTAAACGGCACCCGCCTTTTCTAGCTGGGAGCGCTCCCTGGGAGCGCGCACCACCGCGATCCGGTGCCCACTGTGTCCTCCGGACACAGTGAAACACCGATCGTCGGACGGGACCTCTGTACGAGGTCCCGATCATGTGATCACTGATTGGCGAATCAGTGATCACATGCAAATTAGTAAGCAAGATGTCACTTGTGACATCATTGCTTACTACGTGTGAAATCTGTGAACGATCACAGAAGTCACATGGTACAAGGCTATTCACAACAGCCTTGTACCATGTGACAAGCTGTGACCAATCACAGCTCACTCAGTATTTCTCAATGACTGCAAAAATGCAGACAGAGAGAAAGAGAAATGATTGCTTTTACATCCTATATGGATGTAAAAGCAATCAGTGTAAAAAAAAAAAAAAAAAAAAATCTTCATCACCCCCCACAAGTAGTACAGTGTCACCATGGTGACACTGTACTGCTAGGGTGACAGTATGTAAAAAAAAAAAAAAAAAATAATAATAAAAAAAAAAATGTAAAAAAAAATGTTTAAAAATTATAATTTTTGGTTATAAACTAATTTGGATTTTTTTTTTTACTAAAAAAATAATGGAATATATTTTGGCCAAGATTTAGGATGAAATATTATTTATTTGCAAAATTTTATAAAAAAAACCCCACTTTTTTTCAAAATTTTTGGACTTTTTCATTTACATAGTAAAAAAAATAAAAATCCCAGCGGTGAATAAATACCACCAAAATAAAGCTTTATCTGTCTCAAAAAAATGGTAAAAAATTCATATGGGTACAGTATTGCATGACCGCGCAATTGTCATTCAAAGTGTGATAGCGCTGAAAGCTGAAAATTGCCCTGGACAGGAAGGGGGTAAAAGTGTCCGGACAGGAAGTGGTTAAAAACAACAAAGAATTTTGTTGCAAGGTAATCTCAACATGAATATTAATCCTATATCACAAAAAGCATATCATTATGACGTGTCATCACATCAATTAATAGATATAATGCAATTACTTATATAATCCAATCATTTTATATAGATAATCCACAAACAATTTACACATTTTACACCAGAGTGTAGTCAGATACATTCCAAATGTTATGAGGATTTAATCCTCCTTTGTACATTTGCCAGATCCAGCTCTGGAGTGAGGGTGTGTTAATCTTCAACACGTTCCACAGGTTTTCTACCTGCTTCATCAGGAAGTAGTGGATCATCTTATGTGTGTCTCTACAACAGGGGTGTCAAACTGGTGGCCCTCTAGCTGTTGCAAAGCTACAAGTCCCATCATGCCTCTACCTTTGGAAGTTACTTTTGTAACTGTCAATCTTGCAATGCCTCATGGTAGTTTGGCATCAGCTGGAGGGCCGCCAGTTTGACACCTGTGCTCTATAACATAAAAAATAGAAAAAAATGAATTAATTTCTCAATATGCCTATGCATAAACATGCATGATAATACAAAAACATAGTAATTTGGCTTTCATTGATTTTATCCTCCCTGGAGGTATTCCCGAGTGTAGCTCTGGGTAAAGTTTCAGCACCACAAGCGGTAACCCCGAGCTACACTCGGGAATACCCTGCAACATTGCTTCGGGATCCCTCGATCACTTACCTTGTCCTTCGCTCCCTCGATGTCCCCCCCGGCAGTGTCCCCGGCAATGTCCACCGGGTGATGCCGGCATCTGTCTTCCGGGTTCCGTTCCCTGCGACGTCAGGACGTATGGGGACGGAACGGCGGGAAATTTAAAAATGTCAAAAAGTGACATTCACTAAATACACTAAAATCACATAGTAAAACATTACTGTATCAAACCATTTCACATACATTTTGTCCCGAGTGCTTTGTCCTGTGCCCTGCCTGCATTGTTACTGTTCTTTCTGCCTTAAAAATGAGAAAAGTCCATGGCGTCCAAAAAGTGTCCCTTTAGGTCAAAAGCGGTTTTAGACCAGCTAGAGAACAGCGATAGTAAATCAGAACTACTTGCAGAATTGAGTGATAGTGATTCGTGGGGAAATTCATCATCAGACACTGAATGCGATTTTGCGACTTTTCTCAGTGATGTGCGAACTTGGCGCTCTATTTCAAATTTCAGTGTTTTTGGTTTGATTATATTATTGAATTAAATTTATTATTATTATATTATTATTTTTCATGATTATTTATTAAATTATAATTTATGATTTCGTGTTTCAAATTTTTAACATACCCGGGATGTTTACTAGACTCTTGTTCGGACAGATTTCAGTGAGTTATTCCTAAAAATTACAGGCCTACAATAAAAAAAACTACATATTTCCATGCAAAAAAATCTACCGCTTTGAGCACAGAAATACTGACATAATCAGACCGCTAGGGAGGCTACCAGTCAGATGAATGTCTTAATGGCAGAAACCCATGTGTGCTTGGAACATATAGACAGAGAGGGATATAAAATCCTGGTGCAGAAGTAAAAGGGGAGATCAAGGTTAGAAGAAAGCCTTTTATCCTGAACCCTGGTTTGTCAACCAAAAAAAAATATATATAGATAGATAGATAAAGTTTAAAATAGAAATGAAAAGCAAAAACATTTGTGTATAGATATTAAAAACAATATAAATACCATTTCCCTGTTTTATAAGTGATCACATACAATCTAAGCTTATTATGCAGCTAAGAACCGAGAGTTGGGGGAGGAGAAACAGCAGAACACTGGTCTTCTCAGTTAATGGTTGTGCACGGTGTACGTCAGGAAAAGCCTGATCATTTGAGGAGAGCACTCTAAGTTCCCAGCATAGCTAGAGAACTGACCACTGTGTGTCCTCCTGCTTAGTGTGCTCAGTTTTTATTATGAAAGCATAGGAACTGGCAGGAACACCGGAGATTTGGCACAAAGAAAGCAATACAAAGAGAACAGGATACTCTTTCATACAAGTACATGTGCAGCAGGCACATATCAGGAATAGGAAACATTGGGTTTACATACTTTTTAGGTATCTTGTAACTAGGTATCCTAAGTTTACTGAATGCTACTGGACCAATGCAGTTAATACATATACACTATATTGCCAAAAGTATTGTGGCGCCTGCCTTTACACGCACATGAACTTTAATGGCATCCCAGTCTTAGTCTGTAGGGTTCAATATTGAGTTGGCCCACAGTTTGTAGCTATAACAGCTTCAACTCTTCTGGGAAGGCTGTCTACAAGGTTCAGACGTGTGTCTATGGGAATGTTTGACCATTCTTCCAGAAGTGCATTTGTAAGGTCAGGCACTGATGTCGAACAAGAAGGCCTGGCTTGCAGTCTCTGTTCTAATTCATCCCAAAGGTGTTCTATTGGGTTGAGGTCAGGACAGGGGCGGACTGACAACTCATGGGGCCCCCGGGCAATAGGGGATCATGGGGCCCCTGTTCCCTTGCCCAAACTCAAAAAAGCCTATGTAAAAGGTACCAGGGGCATCTCATGGGGCCCCCTACTGACCCCGGGCCCTCGGGCAGTGCCCGAGTTTTCAAATGGTCAGTCCCCCCTGGGTCAGGACTCTGTGCAGGCCAGTCAAGTTTAGGGATGTCCTTGAAGTTCGAGTCGAACATCTGGTGTTCGTGTGTTAGGGATGTTTAGGGTGAACGATTAGGACGTTCG